CCAACCCATCTTCACCCCGTGTTGCACCACCTAAAGCTTTCAGGCGATGCTCTACTCCGGATCAAGCCAAGCATATCAAGGGTGCCTGTAACACTCACAGCTAATGAACAATGCACAAAAACAAAAGAAACAGCAAGGCTCCTATTATCTGATCTTCCGTAAAACACAAAAAACGGCCTGCTCTGGTGCAGAGGAAGTGCCAGGAAGCCTGCAGGTGTGAGCCGGTTAAAAGAAAAGGCTTGGGCTAAATAGATTCTTTGACTGTCACGGATTAGACTCATGGCCCGAGTGGTAACACACATCTTTTCCTTTAATTTACAAAATTTTCTCACGCGTCTGCAAGAGTTCACCCCATCAGGGGCTTTCGGAGGCCATTGAAACGTCTTAAGTTTTAATTAAGTTGGAGTTGTCAGAAGAAAGCCTTTTTGGCACAGAGTCAGGGTCATTAATTACTGCTATCTTTGTTTCTTTCTGTAAAGAGAATTCTGATGACTTGTTGGGTTCCTTACCCGGCCTACATTTTCCACCCTGCAGTTCCCATTCAGTTCCAAGTGAGACTTGATTAAGCAGTTTACCAATTACTTCCATCAGTGTTAGGTACAAAGCATTTACACAATCTTAAATCTTTAAAAAAGAAAAAAAAAGCATTTCTCATTAGTGGTTTAGGGAACAGTATTAATAACAAATTCATCTAGTAAGTGATCAAGCAGCTGGATTCTTGCATGAGTTTTTGCATTTAAATATAAATATTCTCACATTTTTCACATCATTATCTATTCAACTCCCCTATTCATATTCTCAAAGCCTGTGACTTTGCCTTTTTAGGCAATGCTAATCAATTTTAAAATTATTTACTTTACCTCATAATACAGGACTCTAGCTGGAAACATCCGATTTTGCCTGCTATCTTTTCAATCAGGCCAGTGTTTTTATTGTTTCTAGATAAAACTGGTTGCCTCTATCACTGATAATATTTTGTAGATGCAAAAGAGCAAAAGTTTTAGATGGTTTGTTGGTATGCTTCATCTACCTCTAAAATAAATTTGGAGCTATTTGGACCAAGTATCTAGACTGCTACAAATCTTTTAGAATTGACTGTCATGTAAAAAAATTTCAAAGTTTTGAAACACTACACAGACCTAAATACAGGTTATACATATCTAATTACATATGTAAAAGTTAGGAAAATCACATTTCTTTTCAAAAAATCATGAATTTAAATCCTGATATTTATGGGAAAGCATACTATTTTGAAATAATTTGCTTTGAAGTAATTGCTTTGAATAATTTCCTTTAGAGTATATATTTTGTATGCATCCCTTCGAAAGATTATGGAATCCCTGGTGGCTCAGATGGTTAAGAATCTGCCTATAATGCAGGGGGCTAGGGTTCAATACCTGGGTCAGGAAGATCCCCTGGAGAAGGTAATGGCTACCTACTCCAGTATTACTGCATGGAGAATTCCATGGACTTGAGAAGCCTCCATGGCAGGCTACAGTCTATGCAGTCCAAAAAGGCAGACACAACTGAGCAATGAACACTTAGCAAGATTATGCATAATTTGCTATTCTTCCATTTCACAGAAAAAAAAATTAGCAAAAGAGTTTAAGATTCAGAAGTGAGAATGAAATTGAATAACTCATTCTCTCAGAAATCAGGAAACCTATAAAACAGAGTAAATGTGAATCAAGAAAGATGTATTTCTATTCGCTGATACAGCTAGAATTAGTGTTTGATCTTAGCAACATCTATTTTAAAATCTGAATGAAATAGGTGGGAAAAGATTTACAAACCTGGGCAAATTCAATTACCAGAATCACCCAGTTCTTCTTGATGAACCTATGATACCACTTCAAATTTTTTTTTTCAGTAATCTCATCATCACCTGCCATGATTAACAATAACAAACGTGTTACCACCAAATATGTGCCATTTCAGACCCCAAGCCCTGAATGCCATAATAGCACTCATCACTATAATGATAATGACTCATCATTATCTGATGATTCTCAGATGAGAAACTTCTGAGCCCAGAATTTGGACTAGGTTTCAGCATAGGGAAAGCCAAAACAACCAATGCTTTCATTCATTCGGGTCCAAAAATGGGTCGCTTTGGAAGGGATAGGAAAATTCCTGGTTTGACTGAATAGCTGATGCTGTCATGTCTTGCAGATTAAAACTTTTTTTTTTTTTTTGCCATTATACTTTTACTTATTAAGCCTGAAATGATGCTCCTGGAAAAAAAAAAAAAGAGCAGTATAATTTTCCTCTAGTCCTCAATAAAAGTTCTAAATGTCATTTCTAATCTATAGCAAAAGATATAAATTCAGAAGTATAGATGAAATAAATTAGATCATCAAATGTAACTACTTGGTTCATTTTTTAAAAATCCAGGTTTTCTAAAAAGCAGTGAAGTAACAGTCTTACATAGATAATTTCAAAGCCAAATATTAAAGTGAAATTCATCTTCCAGGGTTAAACATTTACAGAATATATGGAATATGAAGGCTCCATTCTCCCACTCATTGTTTACACATCTTTTTTATCACCCCAGAGACCATGAGTTAGAAGACCATGTTTTTCACCTTCAAACCACTTGTAAAAGTGTGAGATTAAGTAAATACTTAAGAATTAAGTCAATGTAAACAAAGATATATATGACAGATAAATCTTAAACTCAGAACTGAATTCACTTTCTAAATATAAGTATAGAAAAAGTATATTATTTACAG